ATCTAATCCTGATGCCACGTTCTTCTTCATACAGTCCAGCTTCTTGGATTATTTGCTCAGCATAGATTGAATAAGTGTGGTGAAAGGATACAACTCTGAGGCACTCCCTTCCTGATTTTACACCATGCAGTATCCCCTTGTTCTGTTCAAACGACAGCCTCCTGGTCTATGTACAAGTTCCTCATGAGCACAATTGAGTGTCTGAAATTCCTGTTCTTCTCAATTTTACCCATAATTTGTTATTACCCATGCAATCTAATGCTTTTGCATAGTCAGTAAAGCACAGCTAAACATCTTTCTCATATTCTTTGCTCCCAGCCGTGATCCATCTGACATCAGCAATGATATCCCCCTTCCACGTCTTCTTCTGAATCCAGGTTGCATTTCTAGAAGTTCTCTATCAATATACTGCTGTAACTGTGTTTGAATTATCTTCAGCAAGATTTTACTTGCATGTGATATTAATGGTGTTGTTTGATAGTTTCTACATTCTGTGGGATCACCTTCCTTTGGAATGGATAGAAATGTGAATCTCTTCCAGTCAGTTGGCCTGGTAGCTAGCTGTCTTCCAAATCTCTTGGCATAGCCGAGTGAGCCCTCCGGCGTGGCATCCATTTGTTGAATCATCTCTATGCATATTCCTTCAATTCCTGGAACTTTGTTTTTCACCAATTCCTTCGGTGCAGCTTCGACTTCTTTCTTCAGTACCATTCGTTCTTGAACATATGCCAGCTCCTGAAATGAATGACCATCTACCAGTTCTTCTTGGTACAGAGACTCTGTGTATTCCTTCCATCTTTTTTTGATGTTTCCTGCATCATTCAATATTTTGCCCATAGAGTCTTTCAGTATTACAAGTTGAGGCTTGACTATTTTCTTCAGTTCTTTCAGCTTGAGAAATGCCGAACATATTCTTTCCTTTTGGTTTTCTAACTACACGTCTTTGCACATTTCATTATAATAATTGACTTTATCTTCTTGAGGTTCTCTTTGAAATCTTTTGTTCAGCTCTTTTATCTTGTCATTTCTTCCATTTGCTTTAGCTACTGTCCATTTAGGGGCAAGTTCCAGGTCTCTTCTGACGTCCATTTTGGTCTTTTCTTCCTTTACTGCCTTGTTAAAGACCTTTCACTTTTTTCATGGCTGATGTTCTTGATGTCATCCCACAATTCCTCTGGTGTTCAGTCACTGGCTTTCAGTGCATCAGATCTGTTCTTTAGATGGTCTCTAAATTCAGGAGAGATGTAATAAAGGTCATATTTTGGCTCTCATGGACTTGTTTGGTCTTCAGCTTCAATTTGAACTTGCATATGAGCAGTTGATGGACTTTTCCACAGTCAGCTCCTGGCCTTGTTTTGGCTGAAGATATTGAGCTTGTCCATTGCCTCTCTCCTCAGAAGTAGTTGATCTGATTCCTGTGTACTCCATCTGGTGAAGTCTACATGTATAGCCACTGTTTGCGATGTTGAAAAAAGGTATTTGCAATGCATAAGTTGTTGGTCTTGCAAAATTCTATCATGTGGTCTCCAGCGTCATTCCATCACCAAGGCCGTATTTTTCAACTACAGGTGATTCTTCTTTGTTTCCAAGTTTTGCATTCCAGTCACCAGTGATAATCAGCCATCCTGATTGCATATTTGGTCAGTTTCAGACTGCAGAAGTTGGTAAAAATCTTCAATTTCATCATCTTTGGCTTTGGTGGATGGTGTGTAAATTTGAATAATAACAGTATTAACTGATCTTCCTTGTAGGGTTATGGTTATTATCCTATGGGTATTATCCTATTACTGACAGCGTTGTATTTCAGGATAGATCTTGAAATATTCTTTGCAACAATGAAACTGAACAACCAATCTTCTTCAGTTTGTCATTCCCAGCATAGTAGATCATATGGTTATCTGATTCAGAATGGCCAAAGCCAGTCCATTTCAGCTTACTAATGCTTAGGATATCAATCTTTATGCATTCCATGTCATTTTTGACAACTTCCAGTTTTCCTAGATTCATACTTCATACATTCCATGTTCCAATTACTATGAGATGTTTGCAGCTGTTTCTTCTCATTTTGAGTCATGCCACATCAACAAACGGGAGTCCCGAAAGCTTTACTCCATCCACATCATTAAGGTCGGCTCTACTCTGAGGAGGCATCTCCTCCCCAGTCATATTTTGAGTGCCTTCCAACCTGAAGAGCTCATCTTCTGGCACTATCTTGGGCAGTGTTTCAGGGCTGTTCATAAAGTTTTCCGGTACTGTATCAGACAGTGTCTCACTGCTACTCATAAGGTTTTCATTGGCCAGTTCTTTGAGAAGTGGATGGCCTCTTCCTTCTTCCGAGCCTGTCTGAGTCTGGAAGCTCCACTGAAACCTCTTCACCATGGGTGACCCTGCTGGCCTTTGTAATACCGGTGGCATAGCCTCCAGCCTCACAGCATCACACAAGCCACCACAGTACGACAGACTGACAGACGAGTGGTGGATACATACCCATACATATATACATAAACACACACACACATATATACGTAAGTATATGGACATATATGCACATATACTCACATAGATATTTTTTAGAAATCACAGCCCGTGTCTCCTATTCCAATCCATCCCAATAGCGCTCTTCATTGCCTTCCCACAACAACACCATCAACGTTTACCAGTTTACCGGTGCTGGAATGATCTAAAGGAGCCCTGATGGCACAGTGGTTAAACACTCGGCTGCTAACCAACAAGTCAGCACTTGGAAACCACCTGCCACTCCATGGCAGAAAGACCTGGCCATCTGCTTCTGTGAAGATTACAGCCTGGGAAATACTGTGGGGCGGTTCTACTGGGTCATATAGGGTGCTGTGAGTCAGAATTGACTTGACACACACAACAACGAAATACATCTAAGCATTTTCAGACTTGCTCCACTCCTTCTACTGCAGAAGCCAGCCTACTGAAAAGAATCATCCCCACACCCCACCGTGTCCCCCCCAAGATTCTCACTCACTGCCGTTGAGTCAGATCCAACTCATAGCGACCCCTCCTTGGGTTTCCAAGGCGGTATCACTATGGAAGTAGATTGCCCAACCTTCCTTCCGAGGAGTGGCTGGTGGGTTTGAACTGCCAGCCTTCTGGTTAGCAGGCAAGTGTCTTAGGCTCTGTGCCACCAGAGCTCCTTTTTTTTTTCTAGTACTTGTATAATTTTACTTTCTTACATCTACAACTTTTATCTATTGGAGTTTATTCTTTTGTGTGAGAAACAGGTCCAATTTTCTTCTTGTCCCATTGTCCCAACACCATTTTTAAAGTCCATCTTCGCCCTGGTAATTGGAGACCTCACCTGTGTTGTATGTTAGATTTCTGGATGCAGTAGGAACTATTTCTGGACTCTGTATTTTTTGCAGGATGTTTAATGTCAGTGGTCCAGCTGAGGTTTTATTAAGCGTTGATGTCTCACAGGCTGCGGGCTCTCATGATTTGCGGTACAGAGGAGTTTTTAGGTATCTTTCCTTTCGGATGGAAAAATAGGTCTTTATTATTTTCTTGTTAATAGTTTCTGTTCTTTCCAGATTTTTTGAAGTCAGCCAATTTTTTTCTAGTCTTTTAAAAAAAAAACCTTTCAAAATGCATTAGCAGTTTTGAACATAAAGCATTAGCATGACCCTTAACAGCCCTCCAGAAAATGCTGTTCCCATTGGTCTCCTCTGTGTTGTCCATAATCCCTCAGTCACAGTTCTGTTTCAAAGACGAGCTGCCTGGGATCAGGATGTAAAGGAGGACAGATGGGAGGAAGGCCAGCAGCCAGCGTTAGCGGCCAGGTGCTGCACGTGCCGCTCTGCTTCCTGCAGCTGTGACAGCCCCCAGGGAAGCCGTTTCTTCTGCTTGCCACCTGAGCGAGTTGTGCAGTGCAGAGGGAGTGTGAGGGCAGCAGGAATGGGGAGGAGTGGGATAACCGGGCATCCAGAGGTTTTTCCATGACTTTCTTAAGTATTCACTTGGTGGTGGTCGTCGTATGTCGCCAAGTTGATTCCGACTCATAGCAACCCTGTAGGACAGAGGAGAGCTTCCCTATAGTTTTCAAGGCTGTAGGCTTTCAGGGAAGGAGCCCTGGTGGCACAGTGGTTAAGCACTCAGCTGCGAACCCAGAAGTTGGCAATTCAAACCCACCAGCTACTCTGTAAGAGAAAGATGTGGCAGTCTGTTCCCATAAAGATTTTTAAAAAATAAGAAAAGAAACAGTCTGTCACCATCGAGTTGACTGTGGCTCATGGCAACCCTACAGGACAGAGAAGAACTGCCCCATAGGGTTTGCAAGGCTGTCTTCTTTGCAGAAGCAAACTGCCATGTGTTTCTCTCATAGAGCGGCTGGTGGGTTCAAACCGCCAACCCTTTGGCTAGCAGCCCAGTGCTTAACCACTTTGCCACCAGGACTCCTTCGCTTTGTTACAGTAAATGCCCCCCCAAAAAAACCCCACAGTTGCTCTTGAGTTGACTCTGACTCATGGCGACCCCATGTGTGTCAGGTTCTCCCTCTCTCTCTCTCTCTCTCTCTCTCTCTCTCTCTCTCTCTCTCGTGTTCAAGGCTGACCTTTCAGAAGCACATCACCAGGCCTTTCTTCCCGGGCACCTCCGGGTCGGTTTTGAACCGCCAGCCTGTTGGTTAGTAGTTGAATCTGTAACCATTTTCACCACCCAGGAACTCCTAGGTGTTTGTCCTAGTAGCTCCGCCAAAATAGAGACCCTTTTCTTTCCGAATGTGTTTTCCTGCTCCAAGAATAGCTTTGACGTGTATGTATCGGGACACCAGGCAGCACTTAGAGCCTTCCTCTGAGTGAGCTCGTCCCGGCTCAGCTTCCAGGTTTCGTCTTCAGCTTTCACACTCAGGCGGCAGCTGCCAGCATTGTTGATCGCTCGCTAAGTGTTAATAGAATTAAGAGTATTAAAATATTTTTATAGGCTAGTCTTCCTGTTCCTCTTAACACCTTTCATGTTATTCCTCTTTTTTATTTCAGTTTGACAGCTACCACCGCAGGAGGAAAGAGAAACCTGAGCCCTAGTCTAGAAGCAGCCGGCTTAGAGGACAGGGTGTCGGGGGAAATGTCCGACGCCGAGCTCGAGAAGACAGATTTCTGTGCAGAAACTCTCTCAGAGGGAAGGAGAAGGGCCAAGAAATTAAAAAGAATGAAGAAGGAGCTTTCCCCGGCAGGTCAGCACTGGATCTTCTGAAGTTCTGGGGGTGCACAGTCTTTAAATGCACTACAGACTCCTGTTTTGCAGGGAGACTATAGCAGGGCTTCAGTTGGTGGTCACACGGACTGGCTGTTTCTAGGATCTGTTTATTTGGAGCATATGAAGTTTGCGTGGACTCCCTACAGGGCCGTGCTCTGGTAGAGGAAGGCGTGTGGGAAAGGCCTCGTTGAAGATGGTTGGCCCACATCCTGTCTCCTGTCTTCGTGATCTCTGCCATGGTTTGGAGGTTTTGCTGATCTGTCTCAATAGCCTTAATATTAAAAATGTGAATTTAAATTTGCAGAGGTCTCCTCCTACACACGTTATTCTCGGTAGCAGTTTTCTCTGTGTTCCTGGCAGAACCCCAGGCAACCTGGGTTCCTCTCATAAGTAGAATTACATAAGGAGCAGAGGACACAGGAAGTTGACACACGTTGACGGCGTGCTAGGTGCCAGCCACTGGAGTAGCAGACTTTCTCTATTTTATTTCATTCTCACAGCAGCCCTGAGGTTAGGGGTCACTGGTGCTAGTCGCTACGGAGTGCGCTTCAGGTGGTGGCCACCTTCACGATCTTCAATATGTTGGAGCCCATCGAGGAGGCTGGTCTCCATCCGTCTCCCAGAGCGTTTCCCTCCACTTTATCACGCGTGACGTCCTTCTCTAGTGCTTGGGTTTTCCTGATGACGTGTCTGAAGGGAGTAAGGTGAAGGCTCGTCATCCTGCCTTCTAAGGAGCGTTCTGGTTGTAAGGGGATTGTTTTAATAATGTGGGTGTCTGGGCTCAGAGAGGTTAGAAACACGTGCAGGTCTGTGTAGCTACTAAGAAGCAGAGCTGAAACCGTATCCCACATCCTCGTTGTCAGCAGACGTGCAATGGATGGTGAGCAGGGCCCGAAGCACAGGTGAGGAAGGCATCTGTCAGTAAGTGTCTGTGAAGGCCCGTTCTCTGCTGCTGAGGGAAACAAGGCCCTACTACGGTCATCAGCACTAAGGATGACACTAATGGCAGGCACTGCTCCCCGAGTGCTCGCTAAGCATCCAGCGCAGCACATCATGCTAACAGAAACGCTTTCATTTAAACCTGTGAAGACGTCATCATCGTCCACTTTGTTGTTGTTGTTGTTGTTGTTTGCCGTCGAGTCGGCCCTGACTTATAGCAACCCCTCATTGGGTTTCCGAGGCAGTATCACTACGGAAGTAGGATTGCCCGGGAAAACAGAGGCTAAAAGGGGTTATGTGCCTTCCCCAAGGTCACAGGACCCTTAAGTCTGTCCAACAAGAAAGCTGGTGTTTTTAATCACAGATACATACTTCTACTCAGGATAAGAGACACGCTTCTAGACAAGACTGTTACTGGCCTTAATCTCACATCTGGGCTGTTGCCTCAGTTAGCAGAACTAACATTCACATCAAAGGAAGGTAGCAGGCAAGCAGTGCATGATTCGTACCAAAGCTAAGAATTTGCGTTTTAATTCATTCTCTTTTTGCCTGTGGCCCCTCTATCTGTACGGATTTTCTGAATCTCGTGGATATTAGTGAAATCGAAGAAGCAGTGAAAATGTTGCCTGTGCTTTTGAGACTTTTGCTGAAGAGTAATTTTAACAGAAACTTAAACTATGGTTTGAAGCCTTGATGGTGTGTTTAGTGGTCTCCTTGAATCTGGGTCTCTGCCTTGACTTGCCCCTTCATATGCTCCAATTAAACAGATCCTAAAAACAGCTGGTCCCGTGTGACAACTACGAGGGCTTCACCAACTGAAGCCTTGCTATAATCTTGCCTTGACTTCTCCCCTCCCCCTAAATTAAGTGCTGGAGGAGTTTTTAATCCGGGGAATACTTGGTTGTCCTCTCTGGTCCCTTGCTACCACTACCACATCAACACGTCTTCAACAGGCATGAAATATGAGATACGCGTGACTCTTGGAGATCAAGCTAAGCGTGCTTTTGGGGGGAAGGTGGAAGGTATTGGATTCCCTTCTTGTATTCCTTTCCTTCAACTCTCACTCTGTTTCTTGAGTTTTACAGTTTATTTCTTCTCAGGGACAAGCTTTTTCTTTATAAGCATAATCTTAGAGATATTAAAATTAAATAACTAACAATAAAACAAAAAACAAAAAATCCCACTGCCATCAAGTCAGTTCTGACTCACGGGGACCCCTTGAGTTTCCGAGGCAGTAAATCTTTATGGAAGTAGATTGCACCATCTTTCTTCTCCGGAGTGCCTGGTGGGTTTGAACTGCCAGTCAAACATTTTAGGCACTGTACCACCAGAGCTCCTTATTGTTATTTATAGGGCACAGTGAAACTGCCCCATAGAACTTCCAAGGGTATGATCTGTACAGAAGCACATTGCCACATCTTTCTTCCACAGAGCAGATGGTGGGTTCGAATCATGCAACCTTGTGTAACAGCTGTGCACATAACCATTGTGCCACCAGCAAAAAACCAAGCTCACTGACACTGAGTTGATTCTAACTCATAGCAACCCCCATTGGGTTTCTGAGATGGTAAATCTTTACAGAAGTAGATTGCCCCATCTTCCTTCCTTCTGCAGAGCAGCTGGGGGGTTTGAACCCCCACCCTTCAGGTTAGTAGTCAGATGCCTTAGGCACTGCACCATAAGGCTCCTTAAATACTTAACAATAGAAGTACATTCATAAAATAGCCTCTTTTAAAGTTTTCATTGCTTTAAGTGAAAACTTTCTGTAAGTGTTTTAGGGCTTTGAATTTATAAGACTGCAATCAAATCGTTTTTCCCCCTCCTGTTGACAGTAAAGCTGTCATTGCCATAAGATTTGAGCTAAAAAAAAAAAGGTAGATTTTGTACTTCTATGTCAGTGCTGCTAAAAAGAGAAAGAAACCGTTTGACAACTTTTAATGGAATCAGAGAGGCGGAGAGAATTGAGCTTTCCTCTGGATCACCGTTCAGACAGAGTAAGTATGACAGTATGAGGATGGCAGGTAGTGGATTCTGTGAACCTGGTTTGTTTAAAGCGTTTAATCTTGTTGTTATCAGCAGGACGTAGGTCAAGATATCAGGTGCTAAACACACGGGATCAACCAGTTTTGATCACTCAGTTACTTTCATGAAGTCCTGTGATGACTGAAAGCACCAGGTTCAGCCCCTGTGAAGGGTCTGTATTAACCTCACAAGGATGTTGAGAGTGCACTAGGAGCTGCAAGGCTGTAGGCCGGTGTTCCCCGGGACTGTATGGAAGTGTTGGGAGCAGTGTGGGAACATCTGCCCCACGGAGAGAGGTTCTTAGGCCCAGAGATGAGTGAGTGCACAGGGGGTCTTGGCAGGTCCAGCTCCCAGTGTGGTCAGTGAGGGCCGAGGGCGAAGGTAGTGCTCTGCCTGGAGGGGACTGTTCGTGTTTCCAAGGAGGGAGTAACAAAAACTCAAAATAAACAGCCCTGGCTGTGAAGTGGGTTCCAAGTCGTGGCAACCCATGTGTTTCGGAGGGTGACTGATATGTGGGGCTGTCTTGGCTGGAATCGTTAGGAAAGCAGGTTGCCCGGCCTTTCCTTCACAGTGTTGCTGGGCACATTGACACCGCCAACCTTCCCCTTATAGTCAGCCACAAACCATTGTGCCAGCCAGAGACCTAGCAGAAACTAGGCCTGCAGAGTATCACGGATTGTAGCCATCCTGGGACAGTTGATGCTCAGTGCATACTGTGTAAAGCAGCGTGGTTTTTCTTGGTTATGTATTTTGTTATCTAAGTTGCACAAAGAATTATGTACTAGACCCTTTTCCATATAACAGAATGACCTAAATAAACTGTAAAGGAAGTTACTGTTTATTGAGTTCATACCATATGCCAGAGAACGTACTGTTGGTGTTGTTGTTATGTGCCGTCGAGTCGGACCTGACTCATAG